ACTGACAATAAGTTTCTCGCTGGCTCTTTTATTTCCCACTGTACATTTTCAGTTAAGTAGAAAGGTTTTTGCTCTCAGCCCCTCCATTTAGCTGAGAGTTCTTTGGGGCTCAGCCCTAGATCTACTCATTGTCTTTGTACACTTTGTTGATAGATTTCTTCTTTTCAGTTTAACTATCATATCTACGCTGATAATATCCAGATTTCTTCTTCTGCTTCAGTTTTGGATAATGCTCTTTCCTCTCCAACTCCAATTTCAACTTCCATGAGTGGACAACTGTAGTAGTTTGTTGGCAGGCCTTCCTCATTCTGCTTATCACTCTCTGCTTCAGGTCCAGAATACTGCAGTTTGTCCGGTTCTAGATTTCTCCCAACTCATCCCTAGCTTTTTTTCTCCAATCGCTATATTGGTTGGGTCTTCAAGAATCTTATTAGTTTAAACTGATGGGTTGAACTTCAAGGCCATGTATACAGGAACCCCCAGTGTCTTGAATACCCTGATTACAGTTCATATTTCTGTACACTTGGCTCCATCTTGCAATCAAGGTTGATTAGTTTTTCCTTGTGTTAAATTTAGGGCTTTTTCTCACCTACACTCTGGCATCACCTCCCTCTTGAATTACATCTGAAGTCCAATCTCTTGAAGTTTAGCAGCTCTCTCAAAAGTTGACAAAAAGGTGTGGAGATCTTCTGCAGCCATATATAAGATAAAGTGTTTCATTCGAATCTTAAACTGCAACATTTCCTTTTCATGACATTATGCCTTTTTATCAATTAACTCCATCTGAACTGTACCTCCTTTTCTTTCACCTCCAATTCCCTCAGCCTATGTTGTTTTCTTAACAGCTCTAAATATTTAATACCTGGCAGATTTGACATTCTGTGGATGTTGTGTGTGTGTGTGTGTGTGTAACACAAAATTGGTAATCAGTAATAGTCTTCTATCTTCCCAGTGATTCCCTCATACTGAATATGGAATGTATATAAGACTTGCATAAGTGGGTGATTTATTGCTTATGCTTCTGCAAAAAAGAAAAACAGAAATTTTATTTAAAAATATATGGAAAATGTGGTTAAATAATGTTTATTGGTCATTCTGTGGATACCTTAAAAGCACTTTTCAAATTAAATTTGGAGATACTGGAGTTTATTCAACTGAGGAAAAATGAAAGCTCCTAGTCCAGATAACTTTCCAACAGAATGGCATAAATTTCTTATAGATTTATTGGCTCCAATATTGCTTATAATGAATCATTTAAATCTGGTAAACTATTGATATCTTTCTTTGAGGCTTACATAACACTAATTTAAAAACCACGTAAAGATTCCTAATATCTTGTGCAAGCTATAGACCCTTCTTGTTAATCAATGTAGATATTAACTGTTTTGTTGGCTCAGTGACTGCAGTCTTACTATCATTCACACACTTCAGTCTGGATTTATCAAAAACAGACAAGTATCAAACAATTTACTTTTATGACTATATGCTTTGGATATAGCTCAAGATAAATTGGATTTTTCTGAATTAATATACAGTGGTACCTCGGGTTACGAACTTAATCCGTTCCGTGACTCTGGTCGCAACTCGAAGCAAATTTCCCCATAAGGTTCAATGTAAATACGGTTAATCCGTTCCGCCCTCCCTCCGGATTTGGTCGCAACCCA